TTTTTTGGTCTTTTTGAGACAGGGTCTTGCTATGCAGTTCAGGCTGGCCTTGAGCTCACTTTGTAGCCCAGGCTGGTCTCAAACTCGCAATGATCCTCCTGCCTCAGCCTCCCGAGTGCTGGGATTACAGGCGTGTGCCACCACGCCTAGCTGTCCCGTACATTCTTAGAGAACGGGCTGTGAGGGAGGTTACCATGTGCAGTACTCTGGCACAGTGCTCTCCCCACCTTACTTACACTAGTGAGTTTACAGAGAGGGCTCTGAAGGGGATCTTGCCCATGGTAGAGATTCATTTTCATTTTCTGCTTTTAACCTCTCTTTTCTTTTTTGTTTTTTGTGGCCTTTTTGAGACAGGTTCTGCAGATCTTGAACTTACTATATAGCCTAGGTTGGCTTCAAACTCCTGGTGATTGGCCTGCCTCAACCTCGCAAGCGTTGGGATCACACCTGGCTTTCCTCAGTTTTTATTTTTTTAATTACAAAAAAATTATTTATTTGTTTGGATCACACCTGGCTTTCCTCAGTTTTTATTTTTTTAATTACAAAAAAATTATTTATTTGTTTGGATCACACCTGGCTTTCCTCAGTTTTTATTTTTTTAATTACAAAAAAATTATTTATTTATTTGGTTTTTGAGACAGGGTAGCACTATGTAGCCCAGGCTGGCCTAATACTCATGGCAATTCTCCTGTTTCAGCCTCCTGAGCAATGGGATTATAGGTGTGCACATGCCTGGCACCTCTTCATTCTTATTTATTCTATCATTTTTAAAAAATACATACAACATAAAGCGGCATAGACATTAAATAGTTTTCTTTTTGTAAGTACTGCACTATTTTGAAAAATAGAAGTATAGTTCTTGGATTAACATGGTTTCTTGGTGGTAACCATCTGATGCTAGTATGTTCATTTACTCAAAGTGACAACTTTCTTTTTCTTCCTAGCAAGAGTCCTAAGATAAATCCATCAGAATGACGCCTTCTCAGGTTACCTTTGAAATAAGAGGATCTCTCTTACCAGGTAAAGCTTTACATTACAATGATTTTTTAAATTATGTGAACATTTTTCTTATCTGAGTTATTTTAAATTCAGAATTGTTATTAGAGTGGGATTGATTTCTTCTTTCTTTTTTCAATCTTTATTTTTATTAGTACATCTGGCAGCACACAGTAACCACACTCACTGCAGGGAGCTGGCACAAGTACACACTGAGTCCCAGCTCCTCCGCTCTGCCCCCACCCCAATCACTTGGTCCTCTGAGTTTGAGATTTTTGTTGTGTTCCAGTTTGTGTGTGTGTGTTTGTGTGTGCGCGCGCTACTGAAGATTGAGCCCAGAACTTTCACAGTGAGCTGTATGTATCACCAATCTTTTTAATTTTTTTTTTTTTTTTTTTCCCAGAACTTTCACAGTGAGCTGTATGTATCACCAATCTTTTTAATTTTTTTTTTTTTTTTTTTTAAATTTTGAGACAGGACCTTGTGCTTGCCAGGCAGACACTATGCTGCTGAGCTATATTCCTGGCCCAGCCCTTAGCTTTAAATTTTAAATTTTGAGACAGGGTCTGACTGAAACACTAGATTGCCCATACTGGGCTCAAAACTGTGATCCTCCTTGCTCTTGTGAGAGTGGTGGGAACCCAGGGGTACACCACCATGCCTACCCAGCAGCTCTTTATAGTGGTTTAAAAGTGAGGCCAGTGAAAGAGGGAGGTCTTTATTCTAATAGAGAGCTTCCTTTTCTCAGAATCCACATACCCATTGCTGGGGGTGCAGTGCACACCTGTAATCCCACCATTTGGGAGACTGAGGCAGGAGGAAATTGCCACGAACTCAAGGCCAGCTTGGGCTACATAGTGAATTCAAGGCCAGCCTCACCTACACAGTGAAACCCCGACTGGAGGAAAAAAATCCATATTCCCAAGGAATCAGCAAGACAAACACCCAGAGGAGCAAAGTGAATCCAAGTTTCATTTTTCCATTTGGGGTGCATAGTCCTTTCTGAGAAAATAAGAGAACTCTGCCTTGAGACAGATTGACATGTGTACTAATTTCATTGTCTTTTCTCTTTATGAATTTTAATTATATTAATTCACAGTGTTTTGATACACAGCAAAAACTTCAGCATACTTATATCCAATAAGTTGTGGCTTTGCTAACTATTTGGCCAGTATAAACAGTGGCCATATGTTGGCATTTAAAAATCTGTTGGTAAGAAATGTTCAGATGAAACTGTACTCATCATTTTAGTAAGGAGTACTAGATTTTTAACCACATTAGTCTGTTTTGAGGAGTTTTTAATTATATTGCTGCTGTTCTGTTTATTGTAGCACTAGGGATTCAATCCAGGTCCTTCTCACTGAGCCGTGTTCCTAGGCTATATGTATATATTTTTTTGTCTTTGTCTTTTTGAGACAGGGTCCCGCTATGCAGTTCAGGCTGGTCTTGAGCTCACTTTGTAGCTCAGGTTGGTCTTGAACTCGCAACGATCCTCCTGCGTCAGCCTGGCTGGTCTTGAGCTCACTTTGTAGCTCAGGTTGGTCTTGAACTCGCAACGATCCTCCTGCCTCAGCCTCCCCAGTGCCAGGATTGCAGGCATGCACCACCACGCCGGGCTACTTTATTTTTATTTTGAGAGGGCGTCTGCTCAGTTGTTTAGGCTGGGCTCAAACTTTTACTCCTCCTGCTTCAGCGTCTCAGAATCATGGAATCACAAGGTGCACCTCCATGCCCAGCTTTAATAACATTTTTTGATTTTTAGCTTGTTAATAACCATTGTTTGAATTTTTGGAAAATACTGGCTAGTATTTCTCTAGAACACCTTGGAATTTAGCCTTTGCCTCTCTCAATTGGAGCTCTCCTGACTGCAGGGCCTGGGGCTTAATAGAGGTGCGAGTGTGGTCCCTGTGTTCCATGCTGTCCCCTTGGAGGCTCATGCATCTCACCGAAGGGACATTCCGCATTGCGTTGAGCTACCATAGCTGCTCGCTCTTGTTTCCTAAAACGGAATCTGAAATTCCTACTTGGGAAAAGACTTAATTGTTCTCTTTCTTTAGGAGAAGTTTTTGCAATATGTGGAAGCTGTGATGTGTTGGGAAACTGGAATCCGCAAAATGCTGTGGCTCTTCTGGACAGTGAGACAGGTAACAGGTAAGCAAGGGGTCAGGGACAGTTGATTGTGACAGTCGTGTTAGAAGCTTAGGAGCTGTGCAGAGTGCATTAGCGTGTATAACTGGGCGTGTTAGGGATTGAGCCTTGCGCTGTGCCACTCAGTCACACCCCAGCCGTTACACTTTATTTTTTATGAAAGTTATTGAGTGTTGAAATAGGTTCCTTAGTTTTCACCTTTCAACCACTTAAAACTCTTGGCTGATGCTGGGCATGGTGGCACATGCCTGTAAGCCCAGCACTTGTGAGGCTGAGGCAGGAGGATTGTTGCAAATTCGAGACCAACCTGGACTACAAAGTAACCTCAAGGCCAGCCTGAACTGCATAGTGAGACTCTGTCTCAAAAAGACAAAAAACAAAGCAAAACAACAACAACAAAAAAACTCTTGGCTGGTTCCTTTGGTACTTACCACCGTATTTCTAAATAGTAGGTTTATGTTGCCTACATGTTTAAAGCAAAATTAAGGCATTATTTTTTGACTTCTTAGTACTCACTCTTATTTTATTATTATTATTAATCTAGTAGTAGTTCTGGGGATCAGACTCAGGACTTCCTACATACTAAGCATGTACTATACCATGGAACTGTGTCCCTAGCCCTCCATACAGCCACCTGCCCGCAGCCCAGGGCCTTACCACTGAGCTACATCTGTCATCTTGGGGCGAGCGAATGTCTCTAGGCCTGAGTTAGTTTATGTCCACTGTAAAGTGTCTAGGATGGAATCTGTAGATGTCAGCAGAGTCTGTATTTAGCCCACCTCAAATTCAGTATCCTGTAGAGCAGGGGCACTAAAAAATGTGAACCAGTGCTAGCCCAAAAGACCTTTTATCATTGCGTGATACGACAGACACAAAAATCCGGAGTGGCAGACATTTAGTGACATTCTAAGCAGTTGGACTTCGTCGCGACCTCCGTACATGTCATTGTGGGTCAGACAGATGAAGAAACTGGCCGTCCACAGCATGTGGAGCAGGCGTAAGGGCAGTGCTGGGGGGTAACAGAGAACAGCGAGTCAGGGCCCTAAGTGAGCAAGGAGAGGAAGCAGAACGGCTCCGAGCAGCCCCTTGCCGGTTGTCGTCAGTGTGACAGGTGTCTGCTGCTGTGATTATGAGAGCAGATCTACCTGTGACGATGCTGCCACCTGCCCTTCACTAGACTGTTACTCGACTCACAGAGGGACGAGGTGTTTATCCCTTTTAAGGGGCTGCTTTTTCCCTGAATTTTAGAGCAGCCATGACTCCTTTGTGAAGTGAAACTTTGTATGTCTCTGAACTTGTCTCTAAAAAACGCCTCTGCTTAAGTTGGTTTTAGCTTTTTAGTTTCCCTGGTCAGAGTGATGTGAAAAGAATAAGACATCACTAACATATGCTTACTTTTTATGGCTCCGGGGATTGCTAGCACCACTGCACTTACTAGCATCCCCCCACTTCTCGCTTTTTTTTTTTTGTCTTTTGGAGATAGGGACTATCCAGTTCAGGCTGGCCTTGAGCTCACTTTATAGCCCAGGCTGGTCTTGAACTCCAAACGCTCCTCCTGGGTCAGCCTCCCGAGTGCTGGTATTGCAAGTGTGCATCACCACGCCCAGCTAGGTTTGTATTTTTGAGAAGAAGATCTGACTAAGTTGCCCAGGTTGGGCTCAAACTCACGATCCTCCTGTCTGAGCCTTGCAGAGTGCTGAGATTATAGGTGTGTGCCAGCCATAGCCCCCTTCTTTTTTTTTTGTAGTGCTGGGGATAGAACCCAGGGGGTCTCTACCACTGAACTAAACCCCCATCCCTCTTTATGTTGAGAGAGGGTCTTGCTATATTGCCCAGGCTGGATTTGCATTTTTGATCCTCCTGCCTCAGCCTCGAGAGTAGTTGGCATTACAGGCATGTGCCACCCAGGACCATAGTGGTGATGTATTCTGAAATAGAGTAGATTCATTGGCAGGTAAATAGGGCTTCACATGGAGAAAGGAAGTTCGGTTCAAGAGTACAAGAGAAGGCTGGGTGTGGTGGTACACACCTGCAATCCCAGCACTTGGGAGGCTGAGGCAGGAAGATCACCGTAAATTTGAGGTCAGCCTTGGCTACATAGTGAATTCAAAGCCAGCCTGAACTACATAGCATGACCCTGTCTCAAAAATAGAAAAAAACAAAACAATAAAGCAAGTACAAGAGAATGTGCTTGCCTTTGGGCCTCGTTCTCACGTTTCGTTTGGGATTTCAGCGCACTCCACATCTGAGGTCCTCTGTGCCCCTCTTATTCAAAGAGCCTCTCTAAGCTGCTTTTTTCTTTCCAGCTCTCTGAGCCACGTGGTAGCTAGAGTTCTGCTGGGATTTTCTTCTACTTATGGATAATTTGAAGGTTGTACTTTTTTCCTAACAAGGCAACAAAGCTGAAGATGTGGGTCACTTGTGGTTTTATTTATTCTTGCATGTTAACAGCATTTTGGAGGATAGAAGGCCAATTCAGAATCAGGCAGCTGCACTCAACCTCATGACTCTTCTTTCCTTTTTTTTCTTGAATTTGATCAGATTATGTTCATTCATTCTTAAGTTCACTGAATAGATCTGGTTTACTTTTTTCTTTCTTTTTTAATTTTTTGAGATAGGATCTCACTATGTAGTTCAGGCTGGCCTTGAACTCCTTATGGCAGTCCTGCTGCCTCAGCCTCCCAAGTGCTAGGATTTCAGGTATGTGCCACCATGCCTGGCTAGATGTAGTTCATTCTTAACTTTGTTGTATTTTCTTAGAGAGGTGAGGTTTAGAAAAAAAAAGCAAAAAGACTCATTGCTTTGTCTGTCTCTTTACTTTAGAAGTTCTTAACAAGGGGAATACATTAGAATCACTTCAAAAAACACATGTGCCCAGACTCTGCTTCTGGAGATGAAGAAATAGTGGATGAGAGAGGTGTCTCAGCACAGTTTTCAAAATTTACCTCTAATTTCTCTTGCACATCTGGGGTTACTTTAACTTACTCTGTCCAGCTTTTTGTGGATGAGCTAGTCATAGAAATTTGCCTTCTTTCTTTTTTGCTTCGTGGTAACAGAGATGAGTAGGTGAGTCTGCCCAGAGCCCTGTGCTAAAGAATTTTTGAGGTCAGTCAGGTAAAAGTAGGGACGCATGTTTCAGACATGTAGCTCTCTTTGGTTCCCAGCCAACCGTGCACAACCGAGTGGCTGTGAAGTTGTGTCAGACCTGTATGATAAGGTCTCACCTCAGACCATGGAGTCAGAATCTCCCAGATCAACCCTGGGCACACATGTTATTGGTAGCAGATTCATCTGATTGCTGAAGCTATGACTGTGGGTGACAGCTGGTTGTGGATATCTTGTTAGGACCCTGGATTGAACCAGAGTGAAGATGTGGTCTAAAACTTGACTATGTCGGGCTAGGCAGGGAGCGCTGTTAGCATCCTGGTAGTCCACAAAAACATTTGGAGCTCCTAGGTAGTTGGTAAATTACACATGCTGAATTAATGATCGGATGATGGTCAGGGTGGTCCTCAAACTTAAAGTGTTGTTCAGTCACATATAGACTGCTGGGCATCCCCCCCCCCACCCCCCGCAGTTCCTGCATCTGGGTGGGGCTTTTAAATTCGCATCTCTAACAAGTTCCTGTTCAGTCCTAATGCTTCCATACCACACTGTGTATACCAGTGACCTCTTATTTGGAGCTAAAACTCAGTTAAAATTATGAATAGTAGTGAAGTGAATTCCTTACTTTGAAGCAGCTGTTGAGCCAGTGTTTTAGTTTATGTTAGAGTAGCATGGGTCAGAGGAGAGCATGTGAACTGAAACAAGTTAACAGATTCTGATTGCTTGGCTAAGGGCACAGCGGAGCCTTGCTGGTGCAGGACTGTGAGAGGAATCGGAGTATATAGAAGTGAGGTTGACCACATGAGTGTAGCTTGACAGTGTTTGCTTCTCACTTGTGACCCCCTAGGTAAGTGGAACATCAACAGAAGGTCCTGCCTCAGGCTTCCACCTTTGTGCCACTTGGATTTCCTGTTTGGACTGCTTTAGGCTCTTAGGTGTAGCTGGTGCCTTTTCATCATAGGGTCTCAGCTCAGCTTTTCTTCCTTGGGCCTCTGCTGCAAAGCCTCAGAACTTGCAGTGCATCTTGTGTGCTTTCTTACTTGTCTGCGGAAGGAAAGCAAGCTCCTTGGAGACGGGGCCTTTCCTGCAGTATTTACCACAGTGTTCCCATGGCCTGCATAGGCCTGGAGTGCAGTTCTGTGCAGGAAGAGACGAGTGGAGCTGGCCACAGTCCTTACGGGAGTGGTTTTGAGAGTTACACATTTACATTCATATATTTCAGGTCAGTGTTGATGCTCTTTTTAATCTTTTGCAGCATGCTATGGAAAGCAACCATTGCACTCACTAGAGGAATATCCATTCAGTACCGCTACTTCAAAGGGTACTTTTTAGAACCAAAGGTATGTTTGCTTTATCTAGTTTACAATTTCTTTACCACTTTTTTAAAAAGCAACTAACGTAAGTTTGAAAACCCTAAAAGTAAAATGAGCTCGTTTTGGTCAAATAAGGAATAGAACTCTCAGTAACATTTTAGAACCAAAAAGCAAGTAAGTAGCCATTTCAGAGCAGATGTCGGCATGGGGTTTTTAAAAGTAAAATACTAATAGTAAGTATACTCAGCAGCAGTCTTACAAGATTGATTTTGATGACAAATGTTCTCCGTAGGTGTGCATTTTCTGAGGCCTTTGTAAACTGGCTAGTAACCAGTTGCAAATGTTTTTCTTTTTGTGTTTAATCCCACATACAAGTACATTTAGAGAAGTACACAGGCAGCTTTAGGTGGTTATTTCAAAAAACTATTTTTCAGTAGCCATCTTCTAGTGGCTGCATTGTTTTAACTCCTAGCAAAATTGAAGTGATTCTTCTTAGCGTTTCCCACAAGGTGGTATTAATTAGCCAGGATCTTTTCTGAAGGCCTTTGGAATAGCTGTTAATTCTTAATCTGCCTTTTCGCAACGATTTGTTATTTTGGGATTGTTTTCATATTTAGAAAATGAGAAAGTTGATTGTTTTTCTGTAGTCTGCGAATACTTATTTGCTGAAAGGATTCTTTTCCTTCAGATTTTTACCTTTGGTACACTTGGGCCACATGTGAACAAGGGTTTAGGATAGAGGTGTAGGAAACAAAATCTGAATTGGACCTTTTAAAGCTAGGTAATTCCCCTAGGAGTCTTTGATTACTATTGCTACATGTGAAAAATACAAGCAGTCACTGTGACCTCATTCTCTTAGCCACCATTATCAGGAAGAAGGAAAACTGACAAACCTACTTCAGCTGTCTTTTGCACCTATTACGTTTTTTGTTCAAGAATATTCTGTAAATATTCAGTAAATAAACTTATATTACGGTTGTCACTGTGTTGGCTTATTTTGACAGTAGTCTCACTTTAATAGCTTAAACAAGTATCTGTTTACTTGGCATAGATATTATGCATCATGGCAAAATTCTTCAGTATAAATTGAACAGCTAGGCAGAGATAACATAATTTGAGAATCCTGATAATAGGAAATTTAGCTTTGTAATGCAGAATCAACTGAAGTTTATTTGGAAAGGGGAATTTGGACAAGAAAAATCATGATTCCTTTCAGCATAGTTTTCTAAAGTAAGACTATTGTCAACACAGGTCAAATTAAGCCAACCTATTGTATTTCCTCTTCATTGAAAATGTAATCAAAAGCAACATATCAGTCCAAAAAAATGGCTTTTGGAAAAAATTGGCAAAAAGTCTGCCTAACCGTAAAACAACAAGTTTTCCATTTGTAATACTTGCAAAAGTTTACAGTATATGTTGGTGAGTGTGTTTCTTTAAGTAGGTGCTTGCTCTGTATCGTGTACACATGTACCGTGTGATGCAGGGGCTGCTATGGTAAGTATGTTTTTCATGGAATAGAGTAAATAGCTACATAAAATCCCATGTATATGGCTATTTTTTTCTGTACACCAGCTTAAAATGACGCTTTTAGAAGTTGGTGGCACTTTTTAATCAAACATTTTTATTAGAAATATCACAGAACTTTGTCTCAGTTGTGCATTGTCAAATGACAGAAGTAATGTGTAAAGACACGTGAACTTATATAAATTAATGCTGTACATATTTTATAAAGATAATAATAGGAAAATAAAGCAATGATGAAAGCATTAAAAATCTGTAACTGGAAAAAATTAATTTTACTGGGTCAGAAACTTTTAGAAGGTAGTCTAGCCAGGCAGTTGAAGCACCCAAACTAAAAATCTTAAGGTTGGACAAATCACTTGACCTTTAACTGTAGCTTTTTCCTTTATAAAGTGAAGGGCTTGAATTACACATTTTGTAGGTCCTTTCATTACTAAAATTTTATTGTGACAAATAAAATTTTACCATTCATTTTCTCTTCCATGCTTTGCTTTTTCTGACATACTCTTTAGTTTAGAAGTTGAGTACTGAAATCCTTTTTCTCACAGGTGTGCATGTTCTTTTACACTTTGTGAAATTAGAATAAGATATTAATATTTTATACAAGTGCTGCTGAAGCAAGCACAGGTGTTGATATTTTGAGTTTTAAGATAATTTTGGAGTTAACAAGACGAACTCTTACTTTAGTTAAACATGGGAAAGAGTATTCCTAGGATGAGAACGTCGGCATAGGTGCACATTTGGCCCATTAATTTCACGTCTTCATCAGTTTTTAAATTAACATGCAGTGTAATTTAAACATCTTATTAAAATCCATGTCTGCTCTTTTCTTGTGGCTGGAGTCAGGAATCTTTACAGTAAAATTTTGAATTATATCCTTTCAAATTTTTCTTTTTAGTGAAACTAGATCTATTTCTCAGTAACATGTTTCTAATGTTTATAGCCACTAACATTTACTCAACAGATTTGTTGCAAACTCTTGTTTTAATTTAATTTCACTTGATCTTTTAACTGTTTAGTAAAAGAATCAGTTATCTTGAGGCAAATTTTTTTTTTTTTTCAGAATAGCTGAGGTTGTCACTTTGAATAATTTCTTAATCAAATTCTTGTGGATACTAAACGTTCTCAGTTGTCAACTTGAGATTTGAGCCTTCTCAGAGATACCTGTTGGCCTAGCCTCCTTTGTTTTACTCATGCTTAGGTGGCCCTTCTTCTGTTTGGTTTTACTAAAAACTGAATTTTAAATAGCAATAGAATTGGCTTTTCTATGAGATTGTAGATAAAATAGCTCAGCCCCCTTTTTATATGTGGATTGTTTTCAAAATTATGGATAGAAAAAAATCAGTAAAGAATTTTAAAAGTTCATATCTGAAAGCAGTAACATTGCATGACTCTCTAAATTTTGCTTGCTCGTTTCTTAAAAAGAAACAAGCACAAAATTCCGGTCTACAGATTGGATAATCTCTGATTAAGATAATCTCTGGTGCTTGATACAGCCAAGTGATGTCACTGTTTAAGAAAGCAATAGATTAAAAACCTTTTTGCAGAAATAAATTCCATCTTTTTATGTTTTTGCTAAACATTTCTGCAGTCATCTGATTTTAAATAAGTCAAATTGTGAAAGAACTCTAGCAGTAATGTTAATGGAATGTTGCCTTGGAGTGATCTTTTTCCTTAGAATCTACCTTCCATACTTCAAAAGCTTAAAGTTCTTGTGGCCTTTTTCAGAATAGAATTAACAAATGTTGAATCAGTTTTTACAGCATAGAAAAAATTGCATGTTTTGGAGTTAAAACATTTTGAATTTGAATTTCCCAATATTTAGGCTTTTTTGTTGTTAAGGGACTTTTATTTTAGTAAGGCTACAATTTAAGATTACCTTCTAAAGTTTAATACAGTAATCAAAACAATTTTGAAAGTTCAGTATATTTTAAAAGTAGGTTTTTTTTTTTTTTTTTTCTGATACCAGGAATCAAACTCACGACCTTGCGCTTGCCAGGCAGGCGCTGTGCGGCTGAGCTAAATCCCAGCCCCAAGTAGGTTTTTTTTTTTTAAGAAAGCAATATTATCACTATATGTCAGCAAACATGGATTTCTAGTGTGAATGTAATGGACAGTTATCTCATTTGTTGAACTGTCACATTATACTGCTCCTCAAATAACCCATTCAAATCTAGGTGATTGTATGATGTGAGTAGTGGGTTTGTTACTGAAGTAGATGAGAGTAGAGATGTTAAAAATACTAGTGAAATTGGTTTCTTTTCAAATCTTTAATCCAAGGACTATTTTTACATGATTGAGGTACCATAGTCAGCATTGCCTGAGGGTTCCCTGGCCCTTGAATGTCAAAAAAAAAAAAGCAAAGTAACCCTTCTCTTTTTCTCTACCCTCTTTTTATCCAAGTTAACATATTGATAGCACCCATTTCCACTGACTTCTGATTAGTCATTTTTATAAGAGCATTCATTCACACCTTCCTTGTGGAGAAAGGCATTGGGGGTAGAGGGGAACACTAGAAGCGTGAGGACAGGAAAGAAGAGATGGGATAGTTTGCTTTTTTTTTAATGCTTTGAGACAGTGTCTCACTGTGTAGCCCAGGATGGCCTTGAAAGGTGATCCTTCTGCTTCAGCCTCCCGAGTGCTGGGATCACAGGTGTGCACCACCACGCCTAGCAGAATAGTTCATTGTGATTCCTTACTGTTGCTAAGAAACATTGCTTCTATTTTTGATGTACATGTGTACATCTTTGGAAGTTAGAAAGTTAGATGTTTAAAAAACATTTTGAAGAGAGTCTGGAAAGAAGTAAAAAAATCTAACAGGTATAAAATTAAATGTATCTTCATATAATGGAGAGGATATTTATATTAATTTTAAGATAATAGTTTGATATTTTAAAAAATTTACTTAGTATGACAGTTAATAAGTGCACCCTTATACAAGGAGGTATTCTGGAGGTATTCAGCTAGAAAAACAGATAATTTCATTTATTATTGTAGGATTAGTAAACTCAATAAAGATGTAATGCTGTTTTATTTTAGTTCTTAAGCTTCAAAAGTTTGCAGGGTTTTTTTTTGTTGTTGTTGTTTTGTTTTGTTTTGTCTTTTTGAGACAGGGTCTCACTATCCAGTTCAGGCTGGCCTTGAGTTCACTTATGTAGCCTAGGCTGGTCTCGAACTTGCAACAATCCTCCTGCCTCAGCCTCCTGAGTGCTGGGTTTACAGGCATGTACCACCACTCCCAGCTAGTTTGCAGATTTTATTTATTTATTTATTTTTTTGGTCTTTTTTTTTTTTTTTTGAGACAGTCTCGCTCTGCAGTTCAGGCCAACCTTGAGCTCCTTTGTAGCCCAGGCTGGTCTCGAACTTGCAACAATCCTCCTGCCTCAGCCTCCCAAGTGCTGGGAATATAGGTGTGCGCCACCACACTTGGCTAGTTTGCAGATTTTAAAAAGTAATTTTTCCTGGTAGTTGTTTATTAACTGTATATTCTTTATTAGTACCTTTGCAGTGCATAATGATTATGTTTGTCTTAGGGAATTTATATACACATGCAATACATCTTAATTCTTTTTTTCTTCCTTCCCCTCCCTTTCCTTCCTTCAATTCTTGATCTCATTCCCATTTGAAAAGGATCTATTTGCATTTTTATCTTTGATTCTCTCATTAAGTGATGGAATTATCTGGAATTATTTGCCATTTGGCACACTTACATAGTCAGTATTAAAATCCAGTAAGATGCAGAGAAGGATACGTAATGCATCTAAGGACATACAGTATAGAGACAGAATCTTGGATGTTTCAGGTATCTTAAGGGTGTACTATATGTCTAGAAAAGGGCTCAAGATTTATATGAAAAGTTGATAGAGATTAACCCAAAATGGTATGATAATGAATGGTTTTTGCATTTTTGTTCTGCTAATGTTTTTAAGTTTCTTCAGAAAACATGTTAAACATTACACTACTTTGTAAGGTTACAGTTTGAAAATTTTGCTTTTAAAATTGTATTTAAGGGCTTTGTTTTGGCACATGTCTTTAGTCTCTGTTTTTAATAATTAAAGGAAGATAGGATGCTTTTACACTTCAGTCTTGCCAGGCACAGGTATGCATGCCTATACTCCTGCACTTGGGAGGCTGAGGCAGGAGGATCACCTTGAACTGAAGGCCAACCTGGGTTACATACTGAGTTTGAGGCCAGTCTGAACCTATATAGTGAGACCCTGTCTCCAAAAAATAAAACAAATGAAAAAACGTTTTTTAAATATAAACTTCATTATTAGGCACACTCAGGGAATCTTTGGTGGTAGTTCATTCTTGTTTTAAAATGCTTTTATAGGTTATTAACAACACATAAAGCTTTATTTTCCTTTTTAGTAAGAGAACTTGATAGCAGAAGACAGTGTTATGATTTGTCACATGAATTTATAAACTCTGAGGCATAAGAATCAAACTGAATGTTCTTTTATATCATACTTACTCTTTAAATTTATTGTTCATGTGCCCTTTAGGTTTTCGGTGGGCTCTTTAGAAGCACTGGTTACTGTAATGTGGGAAATCCGATGTTCTTGTTTCCCACTTAGTTACTGTACACACACATACGTCGTTTTATACCTTTTAACTCTGCAAGTAATTTGTGGTAATTGATCTTGATGCATTTGTTCCTACTATTTGTACTATTGTGAGCTTGTTTGAGGCTTTTCCCAAGCATCTGAGACTTTTTAAATAGAGCAGGAGACAGTTACTTTATCTAGTAATACTTCTTTTACTGCTGACATACCAAGGTATATTTTGGTATTAACTTTATGACAGAGTTAGTATCAGTTCATAAGTAAAATTTTGTAAACGGATTTACGAGTGGGTTTAGAGAGTTTCATGTGCCCTTCATCTCATTTTTCTCCACTTGCTCCCTCATTTTCTTCCAGCATTTCATCATGTTTTGTGACTGGGTTACATTCCTGGCTTGGTGTATATATTGATAATTAGCAAGATGAAGCTCTTGGTCTCATATTTAGGATAAGACTTAGGTCACAAACATCTAATGGAGTCATGGGTAGAAAATAAGATATAAGAAATTATTGCAGACGTTTAACTTTTAAATTGCAGACTATCGGTGGTCCATGTCAAGTCATAGTTCACAAGTGGGAGACTCATCTACAACCACGATCAATAACCCCTTTAGGTATGGGCATTACCTGCATCTGTTTGAGGCATATGCATAGAGTTACTAATGTGCTGCACAATGGCTTAGTGGGACTTATTAAAATTTACTCTGAAGTTAAAATCAATGCGTTATCAGTACTGCAGATTTCACTTAGCATTTCATGGATCTTTCCAAACTAAACAGTTCTTAATTGCCATTCTTTGTAAACTTTATTAGAAATGCTTGCCTAGTTATTTTAAGTTTCTTGGATTAGATTAATTTATTACAAAATGCTTGTTTTCATGGATGTGTTAGAAAGTTTATAAGATAATGTTCTTGACTGGGCGTGGTGGCACACACCTGTAGTCCCAGTACTTGGGAGGCTGAGGTAGGAGAATTCCTGTGGGTTTGAAGCCAGTCTGAGCTACAAAGTGAGTTCAAGGCCAGCCTGAACTGCTTAGTGAAACCCTGCCTCAAAGATTTTTTTTTAAAAAAAGGGGATAAGATAATATTCTTGACTGAGCATCTGTGGCCTTAATATTACTTGCTCAGGCTTAGATAATATTTGGGAAAGACATAATCCACAATAAAATCTTAAGATTTTTAGAACTGAAGAGTAAGAACAATAGAAACATTACTCCATATTTTTTTTTTGTAGCTAGTAAACACTTGAATAAACTTGTATGAATGAATTCAAATTTCTTTATTCTTAAATATTACATATTTTCCTCCTAATTTGCTTAAAATTCTTTGCTGGTTATGCTAGAATTGATATTCAGAGAGTTTGTTTTTAAAATACAACTCCATTTTCTTGTGCCTAAAAATGGCATTTCTCTTCATACAGATATTTTTGAATTTCCTTTTCAGTGCTGAAAATAGAATAGAAGTTGATTTTACATATAATACCCATTTCATTACAGTGTTTACCTGTAAATAGACTTAGTGCTGAAAAAATGTATCTTTGTTTTTAGGCAAAGTTAAAATTCAAGGATAACTGAGTTGCCTGTACTAGCTTGGATTAGAAAGCAATGAGTCTTTCTGGTTTACCTTGGATCAAGGACACATGTCTTATTTAAATAGAGGTCTCATTCCATCCTCTTTATTGGATTTTCTTTTTGTTTTAATACATTTTTGATTGTGTATTTAGAAATTTTATGGAAGTAGAGTTATAATAGTCCCATACTGAGGTTGGAACATACTAGGTATTACATTGAAGCATCTTGCACTTACGTATGTTTTGCTATCATGGGAAGTGGAGTGATTTTGCTTTGGGGTTTTTTTTGTTGTTGTTCTTTTAGAAAGAAATTTATTGCTTTGGGAAATTTTTGAGAGCTGTGTGAAATCTACCTGAGAACCTGTATTAGGAATGATAGCATTTATTTTAAAAACTATTCAGACTATGTTTAAAGTAAACTGGGAAGGGAGGTAGGAAGCAATGATAATTAGTATTTTACTTAGAGGAATGGGGCTTTACAGCTTTACTTATTAATTGAACTGTTAGGAGAAGGGGATATGTTAGCACTTACTTTTTTTTTGGTAGTTCCTCACAGCTCTGTATATACAGGTAAGTTTATACCATTTGAAAAGTTTTTCAACTGGCCATAGAGAGTAGTTGAGATTTCAGGAGAATCATGTGTTAGACAAGTTCAGAATGTGCACTACCTAAGAATAAGCATTTTAATTGTGCCAAGACCTTTGGTTTCAAAAAAATCAACAAGAAGTTACATTACCCAGCCATCTGTTAGCTCGTCCATTGGAGAATGTAGAAGTCGTCCTGATGCCTCTAGAGTACCTCTCTAGGGTTTTTTACTGTTCCTTACACTGTCATGAATAATAAACCAAAGTAAGAACTGCAGTGCTTGCTAGACTCTTTCAAAGGGAATTTTTTATTGAGGGCTACAATAAATATGCTTATTCACTTTAGGCTGCTTTTAAATTGTAGATTTAATATTTTAAACAGCCCCTAAAGTTGGTAATTTCTCATTCATTTTGTATAATTGTGAACTTTAACAAGATTTTCTATTTTCCTTGAATTCTAGAAAATGAAATTATTATTGACGATGGACAATTTGGAATCCACAGTAAGTGAGACTAAGTTTTGAAAATATTTACTGATGTGGTTGAGATAAATTTCATTTGAAATATGTGGCAATGGGAAATAGAACAAAATCTGATTTTGAAAATGAACCCAACAAGCAAATACATTCTGTTAAATAGTAGTTTCCAGTATAAATCTTACACTTTACACTTTTATGCTTTGCACCAAAAGGATAAAACACTAATTGTTTGACTGGTGATTTCAGGTGTATGAGTTTATATAAAAGCAGTATAGTTACTTGAAGAGGTGATAATATTAGTTAACCCATTGTGACCAGTATGTATACATATTGAGTTACAGTTCCCTAGCCCATAAATATGAAAAACGGTTTTGGCTGGGCATAATGGTGTACACCTCTTAATTCCAGCACTCGGGAGGCTGAGGAAGCAAGACAGCTGTGAGTTTGAGGCCAGTTTGGGCTACATAGTGAGTTCAAGGACGGGTGGAACTACATAGATCCTGTTTCAACACAAAATAAAAAAACCCTGTGTAAAAATTGTATACTTGACAGTAAACATCTTTTTTCACTAATACTGGAAATGATTTTGGCGGCTTTAAACATTTAAAGTGTGAAACATTACTCTTAGGCTAAGTTTGTGCATGTTGAATGTTTATACAAGAATATGTATTTTCAGTAAAATCTAGAGTAGCCAGACTGCTGTATTAATCTGGCTGAATCTTGGAGCTTAATTTACAGTACAGTAGAAAATGTCTGAACTTCAGAATATGCTGAAAATGCTATGTATTTTCATGCTTTTCTGCTTCAGTAAATAATATTCTGAGGATTCAAATTATCTTCAGTGACTGGAATTCAGTGTCTCAAGAGTTATGCTGCTAACTTGCATTCTCATTTTAGTAAACTTTAGGAATCAGTGGTGGAAAGAGGGCCTGCAGAATTTGTGCTTGTGCTAGCTTTGAGCCAAAGATAAACTGTGATAACCAGTTTGCTTTTCTGGCAAGCACTGACAGAGCAGGACCTGAATGTTTTGGCTGTGGTTTTACGGTTTGTGTTTATACACATTAGCAGTGTGCATGCGCTGCCAGCATTGCGGGTAGGAATCGAACTGCTTATCTGGAGTTCTGTTTAGAATTCTTTTTTTTTTTTTGGATTTTCTCCGGTACCGGGAATCAAACTCATGACCTTGTGCTTGCCAGGCAGGCGCTGTGCCGCTGAGCTAAATCCTCAGCCCCTAGAATTCTTTATATCATAGTATACTTGAACAGCTTTAGGGTTTATTGTTTTAGTTTTGTCCTCTTTATTTACAAATTATATTTATGGTGCCAGTCTTAAAGAGTATTCTTCAACAAGGAGTACATTTTCATTTTTTAGCTATAATGCATAGCATTATGTCCCTTTATTATGTACTTACTGTGTATGGTCATAAAATGGCATTTCTTTCCTCATGTTTTCCTTGTTTTTCCTTTTTTGGTGGGATTTGCCAACCTTAAGTTTAGCTTTTGTTAGCTTCCAAGATGGAAAGTCAGTTTTCTGATGTCCATTCTAAAAACAGTATTTAAAATCCTACAATTATTAAATGTTTTAAAATTATACCTGAGGAGAGAGACATTTCTTAATTTTTTTTAAAGCCCTTTTGTTGAAAAAGCTTACATCCAAATGAGCTGACAGTTTTGTATATTCATAAAAATTTTATTACCTATATTAGTAGGTAAGTTTGAGTTAAACAGTTAATATAATATTATTTTACAATCATGTAATGTGTTTATGACAGTACATAAGTATGAGAATATATAATTGACTCCATTTTCTTCTTACTGTTCCTTGTTTTTTTTCTTCAAACAGTTTCTCATATCTGAAGTGTTAGTGGCCTAGCTAGTTTCAGTTGAACGTCTCATGTGAAACTTTGGAAGTGGAATAGTGATCTCTAATGTAGAATTTGCTAAGTTAGGAACTTTCTTGGAACATGGGCTCTGAAGTAGATTTGGATTACTTCAGTAATGGATTCAATGAGAATATTTTAAAGTAGTGAATTGTTAATCATCTAACTTTTCTTCACCTTCAAATTAGTGGTGTGTTTTTTTTTTTGGTTTTGTTTTTCTAAAATAAATTTAAGACTATCTGTGCATTTGCTTTAGGGTTAAAAAAATCCATATTATATAAAGGTCAATGTCTTAAATTATGAATATGAACTAAAATTGCCAATATTTTTTGATTAGATAAAGATTCACTAGTCTGTGGATTTGTACTAAATTGTTTTAAAGGATGTGCTTAATAATATCTGTTTTTATATTTATTCTGCCAGATGGTGTTGAAACTCTGGATTGTGGATGGCTGACATGTCAGACAGAAATAAGATTACGTTTGCATTATTCTGAAAAACCTCCAGTCTCCATAACCAAGAAAAAATTTAAAAAATCTAGATTTAGGTATGACCATGTGTTATTTTTACTAATGTAGATTTCTGGTCTTTTTAGTTTTAAACTTTAAGTTTATAAACGTAAAAAACTTTTTATAGATAGTGTCACATTTTCTAAAAACTGCAGGGTTTCACAGTAGTGAGCTGGCCTACTCTCTCACATTGCTGTTGTTACACTTGAAACCAGAAAAATGTTTCTATAAGATGAGTGGTCTCTGTATTTTGTATTTTGTAAGCCTATATTGGTTGTAGAGGTAGATGTAAAGCTTTCTGTAAATGGTTCAGTAGTGAGTTAATTTTTCTGCACATCATCATGTATGCCTCTGAGTAGCCTGGCTTCTCGCCTGGGCAGTCCTGTCATTTGAAATGTTGTGACTTTGGTACTGAGATCTCTGAGTCTTGATCTGTAACACAGGCTTTTCTAACAATATCAGGCCTGAGTTGAAACATTCATTTTCAGTAAATGAAGACATTTATAACAAGGTTTTTATCTTCCTAATAAAATTCATAGTGATTTGCAGAGCAGTGGTGGCAGGGGCTCACGTCTGTAATTTCAGCACTTGGGAGGCTGAGGCAGGAGGATCCCTTTGAGCTCGTGACTAGCCTGGGCTACAAAGTGAGTTCAAGGCCAGCCTAGGCTACAAAGTGAGTTCAAGGCCAGTTTGAACTTCATAGGGAGACTGTCTTAAAGACAAAAACAAGAACAAAAAGCGTAGTGATTTGCAGTCTGGAAATCTTTTAAGTGTTTTAGTGTGTAACTGCCTGAGTATCTGAGTGCTCACACATGCCTGTGATAGATAAGGAAATAGGTGGGTCACACCTGCTAACCCTTTGTGTTGCCATTTGGATAGTAATGGGTTTGAGTGTGTACTTTGTCCCTTTGCCTTTGCTTCTGAAACACCGTGTGGCTGATCTGCAAGAGCCCTTTCATCTCACAAATTTTTTTGTTTTGTTTTTTGAGACAGAGTCTCACTGTGTAGCTCAGGCTGGCCTCAGTGGTCCTTTGCCCGAGTGCTGGGATTACAGGCCTCCATCCACCATGCCCAGCTGCAAATCCTTTAAGGTAGTTAGCAATCTATGATAGAATGTTAAGTCAGGTATGGTGGCACACCTGTAATCTCAATACTGTGGAAAGTGAAGCAGTAGAACTGTGGGTTTGAGGCCAACCTGAACTACTTTTCAAGGTCAGGGCCAGCCTGGACTTACTACATAGTGAGTCTGTCTCAGAAAACAAAGCAGAAATCCAAAAGTTAATATTTTATTTACATTTTGTGTTGTATAGTTCCACTATGTAGGTAGCCCAGGCTGCTTTTGAACTCATAGGAGTGGTCTTGCTGTCTCAGCCTCCCAAGTGTGGGGATTACAAGCACCATGCCCAGCTTTATGTGTTGTATTTAAAGATGTGAATTGTGTTACAGCTATTTCCTGTTTTAGAGTAAGACATTGAAGATAAAGCTTTGGTTGTTTGGCTTATTGGAATTTTCCCCCTTGGAGTTAAAAAATTAATAATTAATGATTAGGGATCTGACTGGAATGCAAGTGAATACTGAGTCTTAGATTATTCTTGTTGGTGCAGACATTTTGAGTGTTTATATATTACTAAGTTGCTTAGCCTTGAGTTGAAATATTTTCTTTGTGCTTAGTGGGACTCTACAAATTAAATGACTTAATTTCCTTTGAAATAATTTTACATAACTGGAAATTAGTGTTTGTTCTGATTATCTTTTTTTCCTTCAATTCCATGTAAGTTATAGGTAGCCTGACCCCTTGATAAGATACATTTTTCTGCCAGGAGATAGTACTTTTAACAATTTAGCAACTGCATATGCATTTTAAATAAAGTAGTAAATCCTCATCTTGTTACTAGCATGGGTTTTTTTGTTGTTGTTTTTTGTTGTTGTTTGTTTGTTTTTGAGACAGGGTCTCGCTTTGCAGTTCAGGCTGGCCCTGAGCTCACTTTGTAGCCCAGGCTGGTGTGCAACAATCCTCCTGCCTCAGCCCCCTGAGTGCTGGGATTACAGGCGTTTGCCACCACGCCTGGCTACTACCACGTTTTAAACACACATTTCTCTTTTTCATTTACTCTGCCACTATGCGGAAAGCAGGGGTGATATCTCTTTATGAGAGACTATAACATTTATAGAGTTACTTGAAGAAAACCTTTTAACATGTATAAAACGAACTTAAGTTCATTCATTGATCTTTCCATTCAAACTTTTTTTTTTTCGGTACTGGGAATCGAACTTGGAACCTTGCACTTGCCAGGCAGGCACTTGCACCGCTGAGCTGTATCCCTGGCCCTCAAACTTCATTTAGAAAAGGCCTTTCTTCTTACTCATTTCTGTCTGTTTGCAGTCTTCATAGTCTTCCTCAGGTTCACTAAAAGTATTAGTTATCTTGAGCGATTCCTCAGAGTTTGGCTGTTGAGAAGAGATGATGATTTTGAGCTACTCATAAATTTATAATGTGAATACAGAACATTACTAGCAAAGTAATGTTTACAGGTGACCCTTTAGGGAGACCTCAGAATTATGGCTGTAAAGAAAGTGTCAGCAGTTGTTTGGGACAGGATTATACAAAGATCAGCCACACTAACACAGTTCAAAAAATATAAATATATTTATATTTGAGGTCAGATCCCATTTAAATCTAAATGAAAAATTTCTATAACTTTGTTCTCTTCATTAATAATACTAGAAATGCGTATACACCATTAAATTGGTGCAAGAAACATTGCAGAGTTACGTTGACTAGTGCCCTGTGGGAGTAATTGGAGTGGACTAATCACTGTGGCACTGTCACATGGTAACTTGTGTTTTTCGTTGCTGTGAGGCTGATGAGACTTAGAGACTCTTGGCTTATTTCATTAGAAAAGGGCACTTGTGGTGTGCATGTATATACATACACACTGAAAGGATTTATACATGCAATATATGTTACATATTTAGTATTTTTCTTTAGTAATGTACTTTTTAGAAGATACTTAGCTTTCAGTGGTAAGGTAGAGGAAAGGGGAAAATCTTTAGTTTAAACCTCCACTGCTAACAAGTATTACCCAGTTTTGCACTTGTTACAAATACTTTTGTGAGACCTCTCAAATCGAGTTTTTACTGATATTTAAAGGCTCAGAAATTAATTACAGTATCTTAGTTATTGGGATAATAGAAAAGCCTTAAAGAATGAGCTAAAACTCCCTTAGACATAATGATCGTTTATCTCAAGTGAATGTCTTGCAGATATAGATGTAAATAGAGTTATCTAATGCTTTAAGCTTTAGGATCTGTAGTCTTTGTGGAATATATTGTTTTGTTATTTGAGCATATTCAGGGGACCTTTTAAAATTTACATTTAAGTGATGTCCCTATGAGTTTCTTTTGTGGTGCTTTTGTGTTTCATCATTTTCTTCCGGTCTCATAGGGTAAAGCTTACATTAGAGGGTCCAGAGGAAGATGATGATGACAGGGTGTCTCCCACTGTTCTTCATAAAATGTCCAATACCCTGGAGATAGCCTTGATCAGCGACAATGAGTTCAAGTGCAGGCATTCACAGCCGGAGTGTGGGTACGGCTTACAGCCCGATCGCTGGACCGAGTACAGCATACAGACTATGGAACCAGATAACCTAGAACTAATCTTTGATTTCTTTGAGGTGAGTAGTTATTTCAGTGACTCAGTTGACAAGAAATGCAGATCTTTTTACATATGATTTAATTTTAATTTAATTTGTGTAAAGTCTTGATTCTTAAGAGCTTGTTAGATATTTGCTCCTCTTGTACATTTTAGCAGACTCATACTTTTAAGGATGTAATTAAGAGAACTTCAGTAGAATTAATGTTTCAGGTGTTTTCATGTCTGTGCCTATTAAACAATCTAAATACAAATGAGTTATATACAAAGGAGCATGCAAAGATAAGTAGAGGGCCAAGCAGGCTGATGTAACCAGCAGAATGGAGCCCTTTTCAGGGTGGAACTTTTTTATGGAGGCATTTTTCAGGAGTATTTGTTGTATAACAATAGACTGACTTTACAACTTAGTGTTATAAACATGTAATAAAACTAGTTGTAAAACTTGTGCTAGGTTGTATGGTATCTACTGCCAACTTCCATGAGCTCCTCGTGGTTCTGAGACGAGGAGCTTGTTGGCTCACTGGCTTCTTGGATGCTCCTACAAATAATGCTTGCTTGGCCCCTCCTCTCAGTTCCTTAGTGCAGCGTGCCAGGCCCAGCACAGATGGGTGCTGGTTTCCTTGTCTTCTAGCTCCTTTGCCACCTTTGCTTCCATTTCCTCTAGATTAGAGTTTTGAGAGTAAGGAGCATGTGGTCAGTAGTAACACCTGCTCGCAGATTCTTGAGAATAAGAATTTGGAATGGACTTAAACCTACTGAGTAAGCTTGCTACACAGATTTATTATAGTCCTTGAATTGTGTAATTTAATGATGGCTTTAGATATCCTTTGTGTGGTTTTTTTTTGGCTACCTTGCATTATATGAAATTTAAAGTATTTCTTCTAAGATTATACACTTTTAACATCTATAATTAGATCTTACTTAAGCAATAAGATCTGTGGAACTTTACTATAAAAATACAGCATGAGAAAGGTGTGGCAGTACACAGCTATAATCCTAGTAGTCCTGTAGTAAGACATAGTCTGAGAGAAAGCAAAGCAAAACAGGATAAAGTGATGTTTTTTTTTGTTTGGTTTGGTTTTTTTTCTTTTTTGAAATGAGAGTCTTGTTACGTTGTTCAGATTGGCCTTGAGTTCACTATGTAGCCCCAGGCTGACCTGGAACTTGCCGCTACCACACCTGGTTAGGAAGAATTTTTTGTTGGACATTTTTTTGCTGTGTATTAAACTTCTAATAGTCTCTTGAATATCCTTTTTGTTTGGTTAACACTTCTGGAAATACTGTTTTATTCATAAACTGGGCTGCTAAAATATCCAGTGAGATCTCAATGCAAGCATTTGGTTTTCTGTGGAGTTACTATCCCTCTATGCCATCCATGTGAACACATTTAAGAGAATATAATTTATTAAAATTCACTATAAAAGTATTTTATTCCTTCAGGGTAAAGTGCTTAGAACTTTTCAGGCAATGTTTTAAATTCATCTAATGCATGATGTCAGATCAGTATTGGAACTCAGAATTTTTTTTTTT